GAGATGGAGGACTACTCGGCCGCCCTGCAGGTGGGCGTGCCCACCCAGCACCCAAGCTTGCCAGACCCAGTCCTCCCGGGCCTTGAGGTTTTCAACATGGCCCAATGCAGGGTTAATTTTTAAAAAATGTATTTTTTATTGATTTCAGAGAGGAAAGGAAAGGAAGAGAGAGAAACATCAATGGTGAGAATCAGTGATTGGCCGCTCACTGGGGATCGAGCCCACAAACAGGGCATGTGCCCCAACCAGGAATTGAACCGTGACCTCCTGGTTCATAGGTCCACGCTCAACCACTGAGCCACGCTGGCTGGGCAGGGGTCCCTTTCTGAGGACAGAGGAACAGCCTACTGTCCCAGCCTCTGGCTAGAGGGGGACATACTGCGACTGGGCGGGCCTGTGCCAGTGGGTGGTCACCTGGTCCTTGGTGGCTGCACCACCATCTCTTCTGGGAGCTTGGCCCCAGAAACAACCACTAATGAACACATCACTTCAGCCGTGTTTGTGACCTGGGGGGCGAGGGTCAGGACCCACTGTTCACACAGAGCCTGCCCTGGCCCTTGCTGCTGGGGTGCAGGAACCCAACTAACCTTCACGCCTCGTTCCTCCCCCAGCCTGACATTGCTTGCTGGGCTGTGGAGCCAGTGTCCCCACAGGCAGCCCTTGGCATAGAGGAGATGCTCAGGGGGAGGGGTGTTCCAGGGAGTAGGGGGCTCTCCTGTGTAAGCATAGGGACCCCCCGGAGTTGAGTGACATGTGGGGTTTGCTTGAGGCAAGGGTTGGTCACAGCCACTGTCCCTCTGCGCCCCAGCACCAGCAGCACTACCTGGAGCTGGCCTGTTCCCTGTCCAACCACATTGAGGTGCAGAGGGCTTGGGCCACCATTGGCCGCACCCACCTGGACGTCTATGACCACAGCCAGTCGCAGGAGGCCTTGCTGCAGGCTCGAGCTGCCTTTGAAAAGAGCTTGGCTATTGTGGATGAGAAGCTGCACAGTGAGTGCCCTGCGGTCCAGCCCTACCCACCCTCTGCCTCCAGAGCTGTAGGTGGAGGAAGTGTTCCCGCCGCCTGCCAGCCTGTGTAGTGGGTTCTCCTGCCTGGGCCTCCCCTTGTGAGGCTGGGGTCTGTTCTTAGAAGCCCCCTCATGAGGGGACGCCCAGTCTTTGCTCCTGGCAGCCTCAAACCTGGCAATCCGTTGTCTGCTCTTGGTTCCAGCACAACCCCTGGGATCCCCGTGAGAGGCGGGAGGAGGGGTGGGGGATGGGGCCCAAAGCCGGAGACCCCAACTGGGGTCAAGGCCCTGAGTGTCAGGAGGGGTCGTCTTCCAGGGACGTTGCCCAAGCGAGAGCTGAGTGAGATGCGGGCCCGACTCTACCTCAACCTGGGCCTCACCTTCGAGAGTCTGCGGCAGACGGCCCTGTGCAACGACTACTTCAAGAAGAGCATCTTTCTTGCTGAGTAGGAGCATCTTTCTGCCCCACTTTGCCCAGGACGGAGCCAAGTCCCCTGTTGCTAGAGGAAGCAGCCCTGGGGGTTGGGGGGGCAGCCTGGTGTGTCTGCCATGTGCCAGGGGAGGAGCTGGGGCTGCTGGACCAGGTGGCATCCATCAGAAGCCGCGCCTCAGTGCTTCGGGTGTCCACGCTGGTGCCTTGGGCACTCAGCGCTCGTCACCCGCAGGCAGAACCACTTGTACGAGGACCTGTACCGTGCCCGCTACAACCTGGGCGCCATCCACTGGCGTCAGGGGCAGCACTCCCAGGCTATGCGCTGTCTGGAGGGGGCCCGGGAGTGTGCGCGCACCATGCGGAAGGGCTTCATGGAGAGCGAGTGCTGCGTCCTCATCTCACAGGTGCCCTCGGGGGTGCGGGCGCAGCTGCGGGCTGGCCAGGGCCCTGGGGAATGCCAGCTCACCTCCCTCACCCCCCAGGTTCTCCAAGACCTGGGTGATTTTCTGGCTGCGAAGAGAGCGCTGAAGAAGGCCTACAGGCTGGGCTCCCAGAAGCCTTTGCAGAGGGCGGCTGTGTGCCAGACCCTCAAGTATGGTGAGCCTGGAAGGGGACCCCAGGGGCTAAGGGCTCCCCTTCCTTGGCAAAGGGGGCCAGGCATGTGTCCTTGGGGAGGTGGCAGCCCCAATTCCTGTTGGGAGGAGAACCCCACTTTTATCTGAGTCTAGAACACAGTGTGTGCAGAGGCCACGAGGGTGGTCAGGAGACGAGGCGTTTCCACGTGAACTGGAGACAAAGGCTGTCCCCACTCGGAGTGGACAGGGTGTGTGGCCGGAGTGCCGATGGTGGCGTCAGCAGCCGCCGGCAGTGGTCTGCCTTTGCTGCGAGCCAGCATCATCTGTTAGTTCTTGTAGCCCTTGCAACAACCCCCCAGGGCTGATTCTCTGACTGCCCCTTCTTACCAATGGGCAAACAGGCTGGGCGGGGTGGGTGGCCCGCCTGAGGGCACAGGGCTAACCGATGGCAGAGCCAGGCTGGGCCCTGTGTCTGCCGCCCCCTCGCATGAGGCTCTTCCCGGCAGTGCTGGCGGTGGTCCGGCTGCAGCAGCAGTTGGAGGAGTCCGAGAGCAGTGACCCTCAGAGCGCCATGGGCATCTGTGAGCAGCTGGGGGACCTGTTCTCCAAGGCAGGCGACTTCCCCAAGGCGGCGAAGGCCTACCAGAAGCAGGTGCACCCCGGCTGGAGGGGAGGGGAGGGACTGCAATGCTCTGGGCCCGGAAGGTGTGCAGTAGCATCCCTGTTGCATCCTCAGCTGGACTTTGCGGAGCGGCTGGACAGGCCGGGGCCCGAGCTGGCCGTCATCCATGTGTCCCTGGCCGCCACCCTGGGAGACATGAAGGACCCCCGTGGGGCTGTGCACCACTATGAAGAGGAGCTGAGACTGCGTGAGGGCAACGCCCTGGAGGTGAGCCGCGGCACCGTGCCCGGGGTCTCTGCACCTGGGGCAGCCATCACGGAACCCGTTTATCTTCCTCTTGCTCCAGGAGGCCAAGACCTGGCTGAACATTGCCCTGTCCCGCGAGGAGGCCGGTGACACCTATGAGGAGCTGGCACCATGCTTCCAGAAGGCTCTCGGCTGTGCCCAGCAGGCTCAGCGGCCCCAGTTGCAGGTGTGGCCTCATCCACCCAGCTGGTGCCCTTGTCCCCGCCCTGTGTCCCCCCCCCCCCCCCCCGGGGGGGGGGGCCCCCTGGCCCCCCCTCGGGG